TTCCTGTCCCTCCCCTCAAACGCCGCGAAAGGAGACTAGTCAGGGTACGGACAAAATTTGACATGTGAGAGTGATGATAAAAAGTTATAATAACTAAGTGTCTATAACGTACAAGGGGAAACTGTGCTACCACACTCACCATCTCTAGYACAAAACAAATTATGAAAAAGTAATGAAAAACGTATTTCAAAAGCTTCTGAAAGTTATCTAGTTAACCGTGATTCGAGGCGTGAGTCGTGAAATCGCCAAATTTTTAGTAGTGATGCGTACCACCCCGTTGAGACCCTCCTAAATGAGCGGTACAAATGTAACGACAAAATCTCCAAAACAAAACTAGCACTCATTTAGTATGTTAGTACATCGAAGACTTTGAGCGGGAGCCGATCATATAGCCACTTCGTAAAAAAAGTCGGTTCTCGGGAAAGTGCCAAACACAAGAGATGACAATAATTCTGCAAAAATAAATAAAAAAATAGATAAAAAAGAAGATAAACAATAAATAAAATAGAAATGAAAAAACAAAATCATTTAACGTCTCCTCCAGGGAATCGATCCCGCTACCGTCAAACTTACATTGGATTTGCAAGCAGCGCCTTAACGCGTTGCGCCACTAGATCACTCTCATTTACATAATAATAGACCACTTGGCACTTTCACCGAATAGACTACCCCAATTTGACATTATAATTTCGATAGTTGCCTAGTTAGTGCAAGGGGTTATCCATGAGTGTCTAGGGGCCGGATAGCTTCTCCCTCACTGGCTTTTTAGTTAGCGCGAAGTTAGGACCAATTATCGGGATAGCATGGAAGAGCCGAAATCTCTAACCGGAATGTAAATCGATTCGCCGCCTCAGCTTCACAGAATGTCTCGGGGGAATCGTCCCAACCTTTTTTCGATTTTATGGTCATGGGTTCGAATCCCACGAGTCAAGTTTTTTTTCTTTTTTCATATTTCTTTTTTTCTTTTTGTTGTTTTCTTTGATTAGCTTCCTACATTAATGCTTGTTTGCAATATCTGCAGAATCATTCAGTAATTATTTCTATAATGTGATATTTTAAAGCGCGCTTTCATTGGCTTTTTTTCATTAAAAAGTGTGACAAGAAGCTAAATCTGCTCGATTTTAAAATACTATAATTTTGTTTAGAGTCAAATAATGATATGAATACGCTGCAAACTTCCTGATTAATTTTACCATGMACATTTAGCCCGGCATAGCATAGAATTCGATCATCATCGCGAAAAGCGACACTTATGAAATTCGGTAAACTACCGATGTCAGGGCGGATTGCAGCAATGCCACTACTATGTTCTCAATACTTGCTATGTTTAACACTTTTTGGATTTTTCTTATGTATTTCTTGTGAATTTATGATTAATCAGTTTTTTTCGTGGAAATAGTCGCATTTCGGCTTATTTGAAAGAGAAAATCCATGTCCGTATGAATAAGTCACGCAGTCTATTCATACGAAATAAAAGAAAAAGTAATGAAAAACGTAATTCAAAAATTTCTTTAAAGTAATCTAGTTAACCGTGATTCGAAAAAATTAGTCGTGAGTCGTGAAATCGCCAAATTTTTAGCCGTGAGTCGTGATGCATACCACCCCATTGAGACCCTCTATGTTGTTTTCCTTCCTAGTGCGACTACATTTTAGATGTTGTCATTAATATTATTTGAGATTAAGTCCTCTTGGGAATTTTACAGCTCTCCATACAAATGTTGCTATTTATTTTGAAACATGATGTCGTTTGAAAATATGTCCCCCTTTACGTCACTCATTTCCATGGAGACACAGACAAAGTGTATTTAGATTAAATATTTCATAACATTTGATATATATAGAGTACGCAATATTTGGAAATGATGTACCTTATTGACTGAATGAACAGGATGTGACAGAGAAACTTGACTTAAGAAATATAAAAGGCAAACTGAATGTACAATTAAGAAAGAGGACTTTAGATTCGGCCGGTTTTCTTTTAAAACATCGCATGACTGATCTTATTTTGACGTTAGTCTGAGCCACATGAGCGGCTGCCATCTAATTAGATGTGAATGCGAATGACAAAGAAAATGTGAGGAGCTTAACGTATCATGCCGAGTGCGCATATCATTCGTGAAAACAAGCCTTTCGCACTGTAATTCCAAAATATACATTCGAAGTATAAGCCATATATTACACCAAAAGCTATTAAATAAGATATATACGACACGAGACACACACAAGTTTGTTGGTACAAATATTAAACAACGAGGCAATTCTATTGGAAATCATTCAAGTGTTGACAATCTGCATTCTTTATTGACACCTGACTGTTAGACAAAAAATTTACATATTCCGACCTGGAAGTAATTTGGAGTAGTTGATGAATTATCTATACTAAACACTCTGAAAGAAGTAGATTCAAAGAACGAAAACAGTACCAAAGCTTTTTCCTTGTAGTCCAAATGGACATAAGATAACTTTGGCTTATTTTTACGTGTAATCGTTGCTAATATTCAAGTTCTTTTGGTAATAGTGGTCGTGGGAACATTCGTATTTTGATGATTCGTACTGGTTCATAATCTTTTCTTCATTTCAAAAAAGCTTAAACATGGAATGATTTGTTGGCGCCGAAGCGAAGAGATAAACATGAAGACTTTGCTATCGTTGTTAGTCGTTATATCCTTTTCGACGAAGGCATTTGGTAAGTTAAAGTGACTTGTAGTAGTACACTTCATATACCACATGAACGACGAAACTGGCAAGTTATATATAAATGGTATCTAACGGGAAGGAGTTTTCGAACGGGAAATGCTTATTATTTTCGTATATCATCAATTTGTTTCGAGGATACTTCAATGCCTGTCAATACTATAATTTGAATACTGATCTGTTTACAAAATCTTTTGGTTTGACCATCGGTAAATACGAAAAAACTTGGATAAAATCTCAGGCTTATGTCAAATAAACTACTAAACTGAATGTCGTTTAGTTAAACGAAACMAAAACTGATAATTCGCTTTAACCCTGCAGTRTTGAAATGACACCTTGTGGAAATACAGCTGTCGTTTCTAGTATTTACAAACGTATAACGTTTTTTTACATCTAGGAAATAATTTTCTTCTTGTCGTTATTATTATATATACATATACGGTTAGATGTCGAATTAAACCACGTTATGTTAGATTTCATTGAAATATTTGTGATTTCTAGTTTAGAAAAATCAGTGATTTTATAGGATTTTCTTGTCGATGAAAAATTAACTCCGAAAATTATATAAAATACTGTACTGTATGAATAATTGATTTTCAATAGAAAGCCTCAATCCAACCTTTTATAATTTCAAAAGAGACTGTCATTTCAACAGAAGAATATTGGTTGCAATATAAACTCATAATCCAATATACATGTATACGTTTATCRAAGTGTCTAGATACCTGTAAGCCACAAACACAAAAATAAGTAGATACCTGTGACTTTTAGTTTTCTATTTTCATGAATAATACATCTTCATGATAAAGTCTTTTTGGCTTTTTTTTATATCAACATAGAAGCCACAGACATTTGGATAAAGATTTACGTAACCATTTCATATCATGCACGCGTCGCTGATCGCTTTTTTCATATTCTTCATGTGCTAGTAGAAAGATTGACCTTGAGTTAATCTTATCATTCTGCCTATGTGACAACCAAGGAGACAAACGAAAACAGCCAGCTACATTTGCTGAAAGATTTAAGTGGATTTTACTTTTTTTAAGGAAAACTAAGTGCCAAATGCATCTAATTCCCTACCCCTAGCCACCCAAATACATACAATGCTGTCAGTAATATACGATAAACCATCAAAAAACAAGAAGCAACAATGAATTAAGTGAGCGGGGATGATTGAAAAGGAGTAGAAATGATGTGCGACTATATAGCGCTATATGGCAGACAATTCGTTTTATTGTCCAAGGTATTTTGGAAACAATTTTAATAGTTCCCGTTAGGCAGATCTGAAGCTTGGCGACATAGTTAACAGAGGTCCCTTCTATTAACTATGTTGGCGACGAGGGTGACGACTTTAGAAAAAAGCACGCAAAAATCTATTTTCTCTTAAGAATCTTAATTTAGTTTCCATGAACCGAAACAGATTGATAACACATTAAAAAAGAATCCGGCATTTTTTTTTCCAAATGAAATGACTGATAGATAGCGGATTTTTTCTAAAAAGTGTGTACTAATTATGTTAGAGAAATAAACAACAATAAATGATGATACTTTGTATGTACATAAACATCTTATAACATTTTAATAGAAGCCACTCAGACTGTGGACGAAAAACGACGTCATCCTTGAAATCGAGCCCGAGTGGACTACATGTTAGATAGAGAAATCAACTTTCTACGTAGTTGATTTTTAAACTAAAATCTCTCTAAATTTTGGTGGCCTTACCATCAGCAGACATAAAAATCATGTCTTGGAAAAGAACATTTTAAAATACTACACTATTGCTTATTCCTATGAACTTGCCGTATTGATATCTAAGTTTCTTCGAACGTGAGTAGGTTTACGTGGGATCTTAATGGCTAATTAATTTGTTAYTAGTCGAAGGTTGCCAAGCACCGACTTTTAGTTCATAATATTATAAAGAAAGTTGCTGCTGGCCAGCATGAATAACATAATCATATTGTTTCAGCTATTCTCCTTATTTCACTTTCATTTTCGATAGCTACTGACTTCGTATTGCAAAGAGACTGAAAAGAATTCATCAAAGAATTAGCCTATGGCATAATTACGTCACACCAAACTCATTCTAGCTCTTTCGTTAACGCTAAGGATTATGGTCGCTGGAGGGGGACAGAGTGACTATATATCAGGAAATAGTTGTGTAAAAAGATAAATTTAACACCGTAAAAAACAGCTGAAACAACTTACTGACGTTTCGGACGGTTAATACTTGTTCGGAGTCTTTACTTCAACAAAGGATTAACGTCCGAAGCTTTCACCTATTTTTTACGGTGTCAAATTTATTTTTTTACAGTAAGCTTGCTGTTTCTTTAGAAACACCGACGCAGCACATCGCTAATTTCCACCACTATTTAACAATTAGACCTCGAGGTCGAGTGGACTACGAACTAATAGCCCATGAGGCCGAGTTCGCGAGGCCGAGAGGTCTAATTGTTTTAGTATAAACATACTAATCGGTCAAATAATGAAAACAAATCGAAATATCCTTACAATAATTTATAATTTATAGTTTATTTATTTTGATTTTCCCGCGAGTATTCTTCACAAATTAGACCATGATTAGTAGAGTAGCCAATCACAGCGCAGTATGAGTGATAGACCATTAGTATGTTTATACTAACAAGGAACAGTACATKCATGAGTAATCATTGATACATGGTATATAGCAAAACGTTTTAAGATTGATAGATAGGATATCAATAGATCGAAGAAGTTTCCATTTTTTTTCCTGAACATTTATTCCCATTGTAAAGATACTGCGACGTCATTATACAATTGCCTGGCAACGAGTGTGAAAAGAGTCCATTCATCGAAAACTGAACCTCACCACATGAAAGACCACACCAAAATTCGTGTTCTTGTCAATTTTGAGAGTATTAAATTAAATGATCATCGAGAATGTAYGGCTTTTKCGGACGCTGCGCAAGAATATCATACATTCTTTGTAGTTTTTTTTTCGAGTTTTAAAGGCTTGCAACTCTGTAAACATTAATCCGAATACACTCAAACTTAGCACCTTCACTAATTTTATTGTACTATTTCTTGTCCTGATATCTGTTTTTTAATTGCTTCGAACGATATCGAGTTTGTGACTAGTCAACAGTCCCTTTTTGAATTTCGAAATGAGCAATAGGACTATCTACTCAACTTAAAACCAGTTTACGCGTGCATTGAACAAATTCTTATCTGCACAAGGTTGTATSGCGGTTTTTCGCGGATTGAGGTAACTGTTTCTATTTTTTCTTAATATAAATGGTATTGACACTGTTATTAGTCATGAAGGAACTGAAGTTCTGTAGCTATAATGGCCGAGCGGTGAKATCGTTGGTCAGTCATCTCTGCAAGTAGACCCCGTTCCTATTCCCTGTCGAGGTTAATATATGTAATTAGTTTCCAATTCACTAGGTTTTCTTTGTTATTCATAGGGTTGTATATACCACAGAAACTTAAAGCCGGGGAGGGATTTGATATTCAGCAGGGAAATGTGGGGTTGATGAATTGAATTGAATAGCTCGTTATAAATTCAGCGGGCTATATATGAGTGACCGGAATCACTCATATAGCCCGCTGAATTTATAACGAGTTATTCAATTCAATTCATCAACCCCACATTTCCCTGCTGAACATCAAATAAACTAAGTAAACTAAACTATTTTTCCCCTAAAAAAGACCAGTGCGGCCAGCAAAACTTGAGGAGATTTAGAGTGTAATAAGTTCGAGTCCCGCAGCTTTTCTTCATATGTTCATCAGAGAATAGAGACAACAATAACCAAGATCTTCGCCGTTACTTTTAAAAGAATCTATTCTTCGGAATTAACCAACGTGTATGAATCAGAAGTAATCGGTGTGACTTGGTCCATTCTATCCAAGCACGTACACACGGCCATTTGGTACTTTAGTTTGTTCCTTCTTGAATCCTTCCCTCGTATTTTTTCGAGCGAGTTCAACATCAAAAACTATTGTAATTTTTCTCATTTTTTCCCATCTGCAGACTTTGTCATCGTTATTTGCGGGAAGAAGCATGCGGAGTTCCAAATCCGATAGCAAATCGTCAATATCAAAGTTCGTCAAAGGAATGATGTCAAACGTATTTTGAGCTATAAACAAATCGTCACTGTTCGACATCGTTTCCAGAATGACTGCTAAGAATATTTGATAACAATATTCAAATTTCGATTGCTCGCTTTCGCATGAACAGGTTTTCTTAAAGGAAACTAATTTCAACAGTCCATGAAAAAGTCTCAAGAGAAGAGGATTCTATTGTTCGAAACCCAACTAAGAAAACATTCATTAAGTCTATTCAGTTTTTGCGAAAACCACGTGAATTGAAAACTAAGTTTGTTAGTTACCTCGCACGTCGGCATTACGCTATATACAGCCCTCGGGCCTGCGGCCCTCGGGCTGTATATAGCGTAATGCCTCCGTTCTCGGTAACTAACTCTTACATAATACATGCGTT